TTCCCAGTTTAGCCCAGATGAAACAGAAAGCTCCACCCCCAGCTCACCCTTGCTCCACACAAGAGAGATGTGGGGGACTGACTGTCCTGTTCACCTGGCTGGAGTCATCTTCAGCCTATATTTGGCTGCCTAGCAGAACCAGGGCAAAACCTGGGCCAGAATGCAGAAGGAACCACGGGGGCAGAGGTGTCTCTGCCCTACTATCAGACACACAGATGGGATCAGGAAGCCTCGATTGGTTCTGTACACAGTGAATTAAATAACCAAAGCTGTCTGTTTGAAGCCTAGTCCCCGGATTTACTAACCAGACATAACACTAAGAGACTAAGAGTTGCCATTTACTGGGCACCTTCTGTGCACAAAGCACTTTATATTCATTATCTCATTTAATTCCACAATATCTCTTCAGACATGAGTTATACAAAATCTCAGGTTTAAGGAACTTACCCAGGGACATGCTACCATGCTAATGCAGGTTGATGCCCATTCCAGATCCCATGCTCCAGTCCAGAGTTTCTTAGCACTACTGACATTTCAGTTGGTCATTCTTTGTTTTGGGGGCTGTCCTTTGCATTACATTAGGCTTAGGAGCATCTCTGGCCTCTACTTACTACCAGCCTTAACATCCCTCTCCTCTCCAGCTGTGATAATAAAAAATGTCTCCAGACATTATCAGGAGGGGAGGGGATTACTACTCTAGTCTAAACCACCACCACGCTGTCTTGTTTGCTGGTACTTTGTAAGTACATAAACAGCTCCTCAGAAGAGAGACAGAGCTGGAACAAAACACTACTATGGATATGATAATCAGAAGACTCTAGGAAAGTACTGTACAACAATAATACCACCTTATGCTATGGTTATATATCACTTACAATTCACTAAGTACTTTTATAGTCATTACCTCCTTTCATGGCATATGACTGCACAGCAGGATCTAATTCCAAGAGTTAATCCACCTCAAAAATATGAACATTATTAAGAGATCCGTATATTTAGCCTTCTCCAAGAAATTGAGGGAAAAGAACATGTAGTGAAATCCACATGAATTCTTAGTCCCATAAGCCATTAGGAGAAAAAACTTTTGCACTGCATGGTCCTAAGGGAGCACCTTATGTGAACTCTTGGAGGACAAGTCTGTTTCTACCCCTGTCTCCTGCACACACCTGCCTAAAACAGAGAACTCTCACTAAATGTTGAAGATTTCATGAAACATCTATTTCACAGCAACCTCTAGTTATTTGATTAAAACTAAGATAAAATTCTTTTCCCATATTTTTACATCTTCCTAATTTATATTACAACAAAAATCATAGAATCGGAAAAAAAATTAATGTCAATATTTATGAAAGAGCCGAGAGCTTAGTGCCAAGTTATTCTTCCCTGTCATTCAACATAGCAGATCGAAATTTTAGTTTAACTAAAACAAATGTGCGCCAGAATCATCCCTTTCAATACATGCCAAGAGAACGGTAGCTACTGCATTAGAATAGTATTCAACCGATTTATAGAGAATTATAGGAGGAGCTTCGGATTTTCACCGAAGTGTTACACCTAATATACAATAAAAATAAGAATGTTCATTTTAAAAAAATCTGAATTCAAAATAAAGCAGCTAGCAATGGTTGCTTTTTAAGGTCACTTTAAAAATTCCTGAGAAGCTAGGAGAGTAAAAACAAAATGTTCCCATTCACATATTCATTTGCAAAGCCCAGCAGAGGGAATATCATTATCTTGGAAATGGTAAATTTATACATGGTGTCAAAGGAATTTTAATGTAAAACTATCAATAAACAGTATTAATAACAAAATTAGCGAGACTCTCTTGAGCACTTATGTGTCAGGCACTGGATTCAGTGTTTTACATGCAGAAATCTCATCACAGCCTCGTGGAGTGCACACTCATTAGCATCTTCATTTTAAGATAAGAAAACTGAGTCTGAAAGAGATGAAATCACTTGCCCAAGATCACAGATCAACATTCAAGCCCTGGGTGTATGAAGCTTCACGTTATATAACCTTAAAAAAAAATATTGGTAATTTAGGGAAAAAATGGAAAAAGGATATGTTAATTTTTCACACTGTGTGCCATGGAGTCCCAAAACTGAAACACATTTGCAGAACTCACTCTCTTCTCCTTATTTCTATATGGATCCTTTCACATAAAAACTCAAGTACCAGGCATTTCTGGGTACCTTTTTTTGGTGAGAAAACAAGTCTTTTTGTTTGTTTGTTTTGTCTTCTGTAAAAATGCAGTGATGGAATCTGCCTGGTAAAGAGTACCTTGAAAGAGAAAAGAAAGGCTTATTTTCTCCAGCCCAATAGGCCATAAGGTATAACAATAGGTGATGGTACCAATTCTTTTTACATGCACATGAGAGCATATACACCCAAGTAAAGGTTGCTTCAAAGCAATTACTTTCCAATCCTAAACACATTTGCATACCTGTACTGGATGCCCCTTTTAAAACTGCCAGTCCTGGGGCGCCTGGGTGGCTCAGTCGTTGGGCATCTACCTTCAGCTCGCGTCGTGATCCCAGGGTCCCTGCTTGGTGGGGAGCCTGCTTCTCCCTCTCCCTCTCCCCCTGCTTGTGTTCCTGTTCTTGCTGTCTCTCTCTGTCAAATAAATAAATAAAATCTTTGAAAAAAATAAAAATAAATAAAACTGCCAGTCCTTCAAGAGGACTTTCATTACTTTAACAGGCATACTTCCTATTACAACCTCAGTTCCTCACCTCAGAAACCAGAGTTGATCCCACTTGGTATTTGGCTGTTTCCCAACTGAGGAAGGTTTGCCATCACGGAGGCAATTCAGTAAATGTGTTACAAACTCTGAAGGTAACTCCAAGGCAGGAGCTCCAAAATTATGCTCAGCAATGACAGCATCAGTAGAATCAGTCCACAGCTTACCAAGATAAGTCTCCCGAAGGGGAGAGAAGTACTCATTTGAATGTATAAATACAGGCATATTTATTTTAACATTTGGATAAAGAATTGAAAGAATCAGCTAGCTACGTCCAAGTAAATAAATATGCTGTGCAATAATGATAATGCAGATTTTGGTGCAATGTTCTGACCACCCCCTTAACGAAAAAAAAGCATGTCCTGAAATGATAGTTGCAAAATGAGTAAATAGTTTTTCCGTTAACTTGAATAATTATTGAAGAGCTTTCTTTTCATGAAGAAAAAAAGAGGCCCAACATAAACTTGTTGCCAAAATAGTCCTTGGTCCTCCCAGGAAGCTTAAATCTCAGTGTGTGTCAGAATATGGACCTATATCTACAGCAGAGAAGGAAAGGAGTGAGGATCATCTCTCTCCCCCTGCCCCTCAAAGCCCAGGAAACTTCCCGGGGAGAAATCCACTCAGTAGGATTCCTGGGGCCCTGGGTAGTCCTGAATTAACTGTTATATGAAATAATTAAACTAATTACCATACAAAATCAACCATATGGATAAGTTAATACACAATGTCAATATTATTTAACTAATTGAAGGAAGCTGGATACCCAAAATTAACAACAGGAAAAAAAAACAACCAGAAAATGTACTGGTCATTTGTTTATCTTTGGCACACATTTGGCTACCCATTCACTGAGGCACTAAGCAGCCTAGTGTCCTGCCAGTGACCTGGTCGAGGGTGTAGCACCACAGGGGTGGGTACCGGCTGTGAATATCTTAAGAGGGTAGTCAAAGGCCGTCCACCTTCCATGCGGGTAACTTCCTATTGACTTCAGTAAAGGAAGTCCATACCAACACAAACAATCCAAACTGTACAATATTTCTCCTGTTTACTGGACTGTGGAATGCAGTGCATATGTGGGTGGTGTGTGTCCGTGTGTGTGCGTGCCTGCACGCCCCACCCCTTTGCTGATTTTCCTCCAGTTTTCACTCAGAAACAGCTTCTCAGAGAGTATAGGAGAGTGGGGAGCAAGTAACACAAGTGGATCTAAGAATTAAACACACCTTTATGATGAGTTATGCCTAACGCACACACACAGGTAGAGCTCTGCACATTTGAGATCTCACTCCTTAACTACTCTTTTAAGCCCAGACTGTTCTCAATGGGTCCCTAGGCAAAATCACTTCTAACCCAGCTTAGAAATAGGAGATGCAGCAAAGATCCCCTCCGAGCCCGCGGATCTGCCCTCGTCGGTCTGTGCTCCACGGCCCACAGATGCACTGGAAGCTGCGGTGCCCCCGCTGCCTTCAGGTCCCCGCGCCAGTTAGCGAGCTGCGCCCCTCCCTAGTCCCTCCCGCCCCCCGTCTGTGGTGGCCTGGTCTTGCTTTCCGGAGTGAATGCCCTCTCCAGGTTTCCATGGCCCCATTCCACGGAGAGAGTACGTCCCCTAGGTCGAGACGTTCCGCGAGTCCCTGCCCCCTCACCCCCGCCCCCAGCCACCCCAGATCCTCCACCGCCGCGTTCCATCCCTCCGACTCCCTATGCTCCACAACGTATCCCCCGCTTCCCGCGCCCCCTCTAGGAGATGTCCCCTCCCTCCTTCCCCCAAGAAGCCACAAGCCTTGCCACCCTCCGACCCTTTCCGGGGCTCCCCTCCCGCCCCGCCCGCCTCCGGCTTCCGCCCCGCCGCACTCCCCTCCCGTCTTCAGTTCCCCTCCGCCCTGCGGAGGGCGCCCCAAGAATGCCGACAGGACACCCTCGTTCTGGCAGCGAAGCTCTCCAACGTCGCGGTCCTGACCCCTCAGTCCTCCAGGCTCGGGCTCCGGGAGTCCCCAACGTCTGGATCCTGACCTGCCGCCTCACTCTCAGGGCTCGGGCTCTGAGACTTCCCAGCACCGGCGCACTGACCCCCGGTCCCCGGGCTCGGGTTCCTCAACGTCGCGATTCTGGACACCCCTCGGGGCTCGGGGTCTGGGGCTCTCCAACCTCGCTGTGCTGACATTCCTCCCCCCCACCCCAGTGCTCGAGCCCGAGGGCTCCCCAAAGGCGAGGTCCTGACCACCTCCCTCCCTGCCCGCCCGGCTCGGAGCCCCCGACTCACTGGCAGGGGCGGCGGCTGAGCCCGCGAGCGAGCCCAGCCCAGCCCGGCCCGCACTCCGGCACGGGTTCCCGGCTACCCGCTTCCCGCAGGCGGCTGTGACTGCAGCGGGCGCAGCACAGGGGAGCGGTCCGGGGGAGGGGACCGCCGGGGGGCGGGCACCGCCCGACTCCGCCCCATCCCGGCTGGAGGCGGGATGCGCAGACCCGTGCGCCCACCGCGGCCGGGGTGCAGCCTCACCGAGGAAGTTGACTGACACCTCTTCCTTCCACCCCGGGTCAGACCCACTCAGCCCCCTTTCAGCTGGGGAGGCCCGAGGGCTTGAGAGAGAGACACGTTAATTACTGTCCTGTCGGTTCGAAGAACCCACTCCAGGGGGCCGTTTCCGAGGGTTTTTTGCTTTTTGGTTTTTTTTGGAGGTGTTTTTGGAGGAGAGAAACGGCAACAACAACAAACTTCATCTTGGATCTCAAGACCGATTCACATTCTGGCCTCTCCCCCCCCCAGCCCCCCGCCCTCTGCACACTCAGGGTCTATTCTGCCTGCGAGATCCTACACACCAAAGAGGGCCCTTGCAGACACACATTTCCACACCCCTGAGATACACCCGTGAAGTACTCTCCTGTGACTATGCACCACACAAACACACCTCTTACACTGACAAGCGAGGAACAGACGTCTCTTCCCCTATATCCTCAATCCACAGTTCCCTAGCCAGTCCGCAAAATCAATGATCTCCACTTACAGGGGGACAGGGCAGGAGAGGAGATTCCACATCTGGTCCCAGACTAGCTCTCCTCGCCCGCAATGTCTGTATTTTACCAGGTCAAAAATACACTTTAGATGTAGGAGCATCAATTAACAAATCAAATCGGCTTTGCTATTAAAAAGCAGTCTCCATTATCTGGAAAAAGAAGAAAAACGGATCAAATCCTGAAAAGATGGCCTGAACCAATGCTCCTGGAGGAAGAATATTTGATTCATGTCATTACTTTTCTGAGACCCTCGGGCCTAGCTCTGGTTTGTTGAAACCTGGCACTTTGCCATTAGACCACCCCTGCTCCCACGACATGTTCAACAACACCTCACATTTGCACTGTTTTCACTTTTCAAAACATTTAAAAATCTATTATTGTCTTCATCTTAAGCAAAACAGCATGAAGCAAAGATAGTAGGTTTTCCAACAGGGGTTCTTTGAAGTTCATAAATGAAGACTTTTACTTTTAGATCCAGCAGTTCAAGGGCCAGGATTGAAGCAAGTCAGGATTAGGAAAGAGTTAAGGGCCTGGTCTTCAGGGCCATTGGTCTTCCCACAGAATCATGGGCCCAGCACACATAGATACTAGCGGAAATGTCACGGTAGGCCTTTGGCAGATTTGCCCTCTCTGTCTCTGCTTCACCCCAAAGATGTCAGGGAATTCTCCTGTAGTCACAAAAACCTAAGCCCTCAATATTAACAGGCATTTATTTTTTGGCCAGAGATCATAAATGTACAGCAGAGCTGACTGACAGGGGATAAAAAGTCCCTTTTTTTCCTCTCTCTGCCACTCTAGAAACAAAATTACAGGTCAGCAAATATGAAGGCCCAACCACGGCCTCAGTCCAACTGAAGCAGGCTGTCGGTGAGAGCTGAGGACGCCTGTGAAATGCATGTGGATTATGTTTGCAGCTTTTCTTTTCCCCTGAGAGTCCCTCCACCTGGAGCATGCAGAAGGGTTCTCTTGTCTTGAAAGAAGACCTACGAGTCCTTTAAGGCTTTCTCAGCGTCACAGTAAGAAAATGGTAAGAGGGGACACCTGGGTGGCTCAGTCGGTTAAGCGTCTGCCTTCAGCTCAGGCCAGGATCTCAGGGTCCTGGGATCGGGATAGAGCCCTCAGTAGGGCTCCCTCTCAGCGGGGAGTCTGCTTTTCCCGCTCCCACTCCCCCTGCTTGTGCTCTTTCTCTCTCTGGCAAATAAATAAACTCTTAGAAAAGAAAAAAGAAGAGAAAAGAAAATGGTAAATGTTCCTTTCCTATGAAGCTCTATCTAGGGGGCAGGCATGAAAGCACAGCCGAAAGTGTAACGGGCGTCAGGCATTTTCGTCTGGGGGCAGAGAGTTCTGTTTACAAGTGGTGCGTCCAGAGCCACGAGATAAGGGAGGTGGTTTCTCATTCATCTCGCCTTTTTTTCTTTTAAGTGTGGTAAAATACTCATAACATAAATGTTACCATCTTAAGCTTTTGGAAAAAACTTTTAATTGTGGTAAACATAATATAAAATTTGCCACCTTAACCATTTTTTAAATGTACAGTTCATTAGTGCTAAGTACATTCACATCCTTCATGCCCTTTAAAACTACGTGGATCTCACCCTAGCTTCTTCCATTGTTTTACTTGGAGGTGATGGCCCATTTCAGTTTGGGCAGTACAAGTGACATTTTGGTAATTCTGGAAAAAAGAGTCCTAAAGTGACCTTACTATTTTTGAATTAATAAAAGCCTCCTGGATCTTTCATAAAGGATAGTGAGGGTGGCCTTTAGTATATAGAAATTCACGGCCAACCTCCCTCCATGTAACACTTTCATCTGGCAACAAATTTTGACTTGTGTTTTTTCCAAAAGCTGGAAACAGGCAAGATGTGGGATATTAAAGAATTTCCTCAAAAAAGAGAATGTTAAACTGCTAACCCAATCAACATTCTATCAGACTCATTCCCCGTTCAGATTGCCCTTGAGACCCACAGACATAGCCAATATATGGCATAATTAAAAACTAGATATGCAAGATTAAGGAGCTATTTTTGTCCCAAACTCTAACAAAACAATTTGGTCCATTTTATGTTGTATACATACCACACTGACATTGTTTTTCTATTGCTTTCACAGTGTGTTTACATAGCATTGTTTTCCAAGAGGCTCAAAGTGCATGCAATGACACTGTATCCTTAAGCTTCTTATATTTTATGTGAAGTAGGAAGGAGATAGGAACTGTTAGCTTTACAGTGACATGGAGAAATTGAAGTGTGCTATAGTTACATCATCTGCTGGAACATCTATACTGGTTTATACTGGTCTATCCTAAAAGACCTACTCCTGAAAACTCATACAAGAAATAGTGTTATTTAAAAACACTAGTTATTTTTGGGGCGCCTGGGTGGCTCAGTCCTTGGGCGTCTGCCTTCGGCTCAGGTCATGATCCCAGGGTCCTGGGATCGAGCCCCGTATAAGGCTCCCTGCTCTGCCAGAAGCCTGCTTCTCCCTCTTCCACTCCCCCTGCTTGCGTTCCCTCTCTCGCTGTGTCTCTCTCTGTCAAATAAATAAATAAAATCTTTAAAAAAAACAAAAAAAAACCCACTAGCTATTTTTGTTTTCTTTTTACATCTCATAGACAAACTGAGGGCTGTGAGTTTTTTCACTATCATGGCAGAGAAAAGGAGAAGCACTTTGCACCACTAACTTATACCATACACAAAAATTAACTCAAAATGGATTAAAACTTGAATAAGACCAGAAACCATAAAAGTACTAAAAGAAAACATAGGTGGTAAGCTCCCTAACATGGCTCTCGGCCATGTTTTTTGGATCTGACTTCAAAGGCAATGGCAACAAAAGCAAAAATAAACCAATGGGACTACATCAAGCTAAAAAGCTTCTGCAAAGCAAAGGAAACCATCAACAAAAAAGAAAAGCAGCCTACTGAATGGGAGAAGATATATGCAAATGATATATCCAATAAGGGGTTAATATCCAAACTACATAGAAAACTCATACAACTCAGTAACAACAACAACAATATCCAAACCCCAGATAATCCAATTTAAAAATGGGATTTAAAATGAGAAGATCTGAATAGGCATTTTTCCAAAGAAGACATGTAGATGGCCAACAGGCACATGAAAAGATTCACCAATCATCGGGGAAATGCAAATTCAATTCACAATGAGATACCATGTCACACCTGTCAGAATGGCTATTATCAAAAAGACAAGAAGTAAGAAGTATTGGCAAGGATGTAGAGAAAAGGGAACGCTCATGCGTTGTTAGTGGGAATGCAAATTGGTGCAGCCAATATGGAAAACAGTATGGAGGTTCCTCAGAAAACGAAAAACATAATTATCCTATGGTCTAGCAATTCCACTTCTGGGTATTTCTCCAAAGAAAATGAAAACACTAATTAGGAAAGACATATGCACTCCTACATTCATTGCAGTGTTATTCACAATAGCCAAGATATAGAAACAACCAAAGTGTCCATCAGTGGATGACTGTATAAAGAAGATGTGAGATACACACACACACACACACACACACACACACGCGCACACACACACACACACACGCACGGAATACTACTCAGCCATAAAAAAGAATGAACTCTTGCCATTTGTGACAACATGGATGGATCCTGAGGGTATTATGCTAAGTGAGATAAGTCAGGCAGAGAAAGACCAATAGTGTATTATCTCACATATATGTGGAATCTAGAAAACAAAACAAATGAACAAACAAAAACAAGCAGAAACTCATAGGTGCAGAGAACAGTTTGGTGGTTGCCAAAGGGGAGAGGGGTTTGGAAGTAGGTGAAATGGGAGAATGGAGTCAAGAGGTGCAATTTTCCAATCATAAAATAAATAAGTCATGGGGATGTAATTTACAGCATGGTGACTATAGTCAATAATATTGTATTGCATATTATATAACTCTATATGGTAACAGAGGAAACTAGACTTATTGTGGTGATAATTTTGCAATCTACACAGATATCAAATCATTATGTTGAACACCTGAAAGTAATATAGTGTTATACATCAATTATACTTTAATAAAAAAAAGTTTGGGGGCGCCTGGGTGGCTCAGATGGTTGGGTGTCTGCCTTCGGCTCAGGTCATGATCCCAGGGTCCTGGGATCGAGTCCTGCATCGGGCTCCCTGCTCCTAGGGAGCCTGCTTCTCCCTCTGCCTCTCTCTCTCTCTCTCTCTGTCTGTTTCTCATGAATAAATAAATAAAATCTTAAAAAAAAAAAGTTTGGGCTTGAAAGTCAGGCCATCTTGAGTCTGAGACCTATTACCATCACTTAGAGCCTTTGGTACTGTACTTCAGGCTCCATATCTGTGAAATGGAAATAATAATTATACCCGCTT